TTTGAATCTAATCGTGAGGTACCAAAAGATTCCCACCTCTAAAGAATATACATGATTATCTGTCTATTTCGTCTCAAAATGAAAATCTTTTCCCAACCATGGAGGAGGAAGCAAAGAAGATGGTATTTAAGATAAATTCACAGACTGATCCTAGTCAATCACTTGGATGATGATACAATCATTACAACGAAAGCAAACATGGTGTTCTGATTTGATCTCCTGCATAGTCTGGTTTTGTCACATGCCTTTGTAAGGTTGATTTGGTGCTGAAGACTGTAAACAAAGCTGCAGAGAACCAGTCAGATCAAATTCACCTTGCTAGTCTGCGCACTGACATTTTTTTAAGCGTCCTTCTATTTAATTGCCAATTTGTGTGAAATTAATGCTATTGGAAATAACAAGGCCATTAACGTTTTGTCAAAAAAAAGAAAATCTGTTCTGAATGAGCTGAAGGTTGGTGGATCATATAACCAGTGGCTATAGTGATACCAAATATTATGTTTGCTTCCACATTAGTAGGAAATTACACTTGCGTTGTTTTACCCATTACATAAGCTAATGACGATGTGAATGTGTTGTGATTTTTGAAGCCCGTAGAGATTTGCTATCATTTGCATCAACAGTGAAACCGTGAGATGGATCAAAGCTGAAAAGTGGAATAACTATGCAACTAAATTCATATATTTATTACAGCTACAAAGAATTGCTTTTATGTGACATATACGGGATGGTTATTTTGATGCTAAAAGTGTAGTTTGTCTCTCCATGCTAAAATTCAAACCTCTGTATGGCAGAAAAAAATCAGAATATATTTAAGATTTAAATGTACAACTAGCCTCTGTGGAGTGGGATTTTGAACAAATTAGATTTCAAAGTAAGCGGGGCTACACAGTGCTATGACGCAAAAACAGAAACCAGATGATCGTCAAATTACCATCACGCTCCGGTTAGGACAAAAATACAGATTTACATGAGATATCCGTTATCGGTTATCTCTTTGTGCCATGCTACTGTTTCACTGTTTGGACACAGCGTCAAGCACGGAAATGATGCAAAACAGGAATTATACAAAACTTAAGATCACTTTAAAACATATTCAGCAGAGCGCATTCACATGCAGTCACATTCAGTAAGCAAATAAATGTGAGTCTAGATTTAAGATGCATGCGTCTTCTGATCTGGGCTGTTCGTGTTTTCAACATAGCCTTGCGTTCTGTAGGCTAATTAAGCTAAAAATAGAAAATGTATGCAAGCTCTCAGATAATGCTGATAATACTGTCCATCCTTTAATTATCTCTAGTTTCGATGAATATTTAAAAGCTGACTGTAAGATGCAGGTCTGCTCAGTTGAAGGAACGGCCGGATTACACCGTTTATACTAGATCTAGTGATGACTGACAACATCGCTCATGGATTAACTCATTGAGCAGATTCCAAAACAGTCCCGAGTAGCCTGACCCATCTGTCATGAGCAAGAGGAGAGAGTATTAAAACATGTATATGCTTGCATTTAACATGCTTTGTGTGGAAAAAAATCACTGGCTTGGAGTCAACTTATGTCTCTTGCTGGTATTTTCCCCAGTCATTTACATGGCGACTACATTTTTAGGGAACAAAAGTGACTGAAAGCAAAGCAGCCCATGGCATTGTTAAGGAACAGTGAATGCTGTGCTGAAATCCAGCTCTCTATAAAGTTAATCTGTCAGTTTGCCATATGGGTTATCCCTGATTTGTAACAAGACAGGTGGGGGCAGGGAAGAACACAAGATACTAGATTTTAGCTAAATGGAAGAAGGAATTTCAAGGTTTTTCCGGGTTCAACACAAGTTATGCTCAATCTACAGAAACTGTGAGTGAATGATTGACCCAGCGTTCCTTTTCCTTAAAGTGGGCATGAAATGAAAATCCACCCAATATATTTTAAAATGCATGTTATTGATCTTGAAATATGTTTGGTTTATAGTTTTTATCCCCTCTTAATTTTTAATTAAAATATCATAACTTCTCTCTGGTGGCGTATGGACTTCCCCAATCATTTCAGTCCACTTAATCCCTGCCACTTTCTTAAATTCGACCTCAAGCTCGCATTTAAATCTGCCTCCATCCGATCAACATTCGATGGATAGAACCAAGCTTCCGCGCTACATTTCTTTTCCAATAATCCATTTCAGTCGTATGTACATCACAACATACGAAAAGATCTGTCGCTACTTCAGTGTCATTGCGACTTTAAATATGAATTCAAAATTTTCTGACAATTTTATAAAAGCACAATGAAACAAAGTCCAGCTTAAATCAGAAAGACATTAATTTGATATAAATAAATAAAAAGTTACTGAGAAGTTAAACAACAAACCCAGTAAACCAATAAAAACAAACCCATCCAAAAATCTCCAAGGCACTTAATCAAAAGCCTTGACATGATTAAGATCGATACATAGCCTATGAATTTGACTGACAGGGAACACATTCAATAATTATATTCAATATTAATAACACTGCGATCAATATCCTGAAGCAGAATATGACCCTAATTGGACTGACTATCACCATTCAGATATGCAGGGGAGTTCATTGACCGTCTGGCCCGCCAGGAACTGACCCTGTTTGGCCTCCAGTCGATACGGTCTCAATTTGCTTGGGAAAGACTTACAGACTGTCCTGAAAACATCCTTAGCAGGTGCACTGCACTAACTTGAACCCTACTGGGTAACAGACTACTTGTTTTAAAGGACTATTCCAACTTGATGTCTAAAGGTACCTGTTTACATCAAGTGTTTACATAAAGTCATAGTGCACACATTACTGGAATGGCCAAGAAATGCTAATGGCCTTTTCATGTTCAGTTTGGAAGCAGTTGTTGTTTAGTGTCATACAAGGCTGATTCAGTGATTAGTCCAGCGTTATTGCTAATGCAGCACAGATGTTAAATAAAGAAAATGAATTCTTCACCTGAACAGTAATCTGGGACACAATAACAGCATTTTCAAGAATGATTGTACAGGGTATCAAGTTGCAGCTTAGCACATTTAAAATATTTTAAATGTGAAACACTTTTTAAAAAAAGAGATTAAATACTTAAAGCATGAAGTATAATATGATCTGTGGCTGATAACATATTGACTCAGTACATGATGAATTTGTTAACTACATTTACGAATGTCTAAAAAATTGCACATAACTATGTGCAAAACATGTGCCTTAAAATAACTCACTATTTCGGTTGGTCTTGATCTTGGCCAGAAGTTTATGAGCTAAGGGAAGGTCTCCATTCTTCACAGCCAGAAGAAGGTCCTGCTCCTTGCCCATGGCTCTTGTCCAGCTCCCAGAAGTGTGTTACAATCTGGATTCACAATGTCATGGTTCTCTCGGTTCACGAAGCCTAGGATTTGGCTTTTGGTCTAACTTATTTTTTTTTAAATATGGACAAAACATTTAGCACATTAAGCTTTTAATTTGTATTGAAGTTGTTTTTAAGGTCCTATGCTACATGTTTGTTCTTGAGCAGCGTGTCATATTGAATTTAAGCCATCCTTAAAGCCAGAAACATCACATGGAAACCTATGGGAAAAACACACATGCAGTGTTTTCATTATCATAAATCACTTTAATATATTTTGAGCATAAAACACAGTTTCTGAAGAAACCAGTGTATGGAATCTTGAGTCTATAGACAACTGTATTTAATTTCTCTTTCATTTGGAATAAACAGGCAACCAATCACTTCCAAGACAACCTTAGAGCGCTTCTGTGATCATTTGGTTGTTATGTAAAGTACCGTAGGACGTATAATATGATGTTTGAAATAACCCTAAACAATAATGACAACTTTCCTGACCAGTTAACTTGTCTGAATGTTTTTTAAATCAAAAGCTAAATAGGGAATAGCCTACATTTGTCATGTACAAAGAACTGAAGGATAACATAGCTACTCACCAATACGTAGTCAGGTCGATTAAACGCTTCAAGCCACTTATTCCACGAAACCGAACTAGTTCAATAAGTATAATCCCGTTTATGATTTCTGTTCCTGTTGGGGAAATCGCTAAAGCGCAATGCCATACTTGACTGCGTTTGACAACACAAGTGACCGGTGCGTGAGCGCGCGCGCGTCTGTTACGCGCCTCCCTGGTGTAACTCTCTTCCTGAAAGGTGCGCTTTTAAGTCTCTCGCTTCATTTAACGATTCCAGAAAAGAAAAAATATGACAATGGCCTATAATATTCTATAACATTCAAAATGTTTACATCGACGGATGCAATGTTCTAAAGCTTTATCTTATAGCTATATCTTTGCATGTTACATGTACAGTTTGCGTTTACACCATATGTGTTAATCAATAAGACTAACCTAACAGTTATCTCTCACAATTATTGTCTCCATATCCTTTGATAGTATAGTCAAGGCAGACATCACATTAGTTTCACAGAAGTCACTGTTGTTTCTAAAGTAAGTGCGACATCTGGTGCCTTAACGATGTAATGTCCCAGCACAAAAAAGAAGCCTTTTTTTACATTTACGTAATTTATTTGAAAAATTGATTAAGGATTGTTCAATTAAATTACGTAAGGATTATTCATTTCAATTTGATGAAATTTTACCATTAAATTGCGTAAATCTTCAAATTAAGGCTTAATATTTTGAGTGAACGTTTACCTGCAACCATAAACTAGATGTTAATTTGTCATTTACTGACTAAATGTTACAATATGCAGAAACGACTTGAAAGGAGACGCACGGATAATATTCTGTGCAATATAATCCATGACTTTTAATAATTAACATCTTATCTAAACGCAAAAGACTACTGAACTAGTTTTATGTCTGACCTCTAATATGGTCCTCATAGAGTTGCACGTAAGAAAACAGAATTGACTTTGGAATTTCACAGTTAATTCATTGTTTATTTCAGAATACAGATACACAAAGTAGAAACTAACAATGCAAAAAGTTATAAAACACATTTGCAACAAGTTACACCTCTTTCTTATTGGGAAAGAACACTGACTGAACTGTATTAGTAATTATTTTGGTCATTAAGGAAACTGAATTAGGCTATACTTTTAAGAAACACAGATTCACTTAGATATCAGATTTTCCCAAATACAGCCAGATAAATTTGTCTTCATGAAATTTCTTCCAGGTTTTCATCTCTAAACTATAATCGTGATTAGCAAAAAACACTAGTTTAGTGTATTTGGTGTCATAGTAGTAGGTTGGATATTTCCGATAGTCGACCGTGCTAAAACCATAGACTCTCACCTACGTGAAGAGCAAGAAAAACAAGGCATCACTATAAAATGATACACTCAGGGGTAAGGTCATCTGATAAAATAAACATAAATGCCAATAAGTAAACAACTGTGCATATTTTTAAAGATCACTTACAATGTCACACGTGTGCATAGCCAGCATAAGTGTAAATGCGCCATTAGTGGGTCTGACCAACCACCATCTTTTAGTTTTTAATTGTTTTGCTTTAAGAAACCTAAAATGAAAAGTGAGAGACATGAAATGACAAATAATGAAATTGTTTAATTATTATAAATGGTAACTTCATGCACTAAACATATTCTAACATAACTAATGTGTGCACATTTGAGCCCCTACCTGTTTCGCACATATCTCAGAAAGTCTGGATGGAGGATGTAGTAAGAACTTTCATTAAAATGCCCACTGTAATAATTCCTTGGCCTTCAAAATAATAAATCATTGAAAGTTAGGCATATGTAAACAAAATCAATATCAGTGTGTAGATGACAGTCATCAACAAGGTTAATCACTCTTATTTTTGTTTTATGATGACAAATATTGATTGATAATTACATTTCTGTTAGAATGACTTACGTTCGTCCATTATATGCTCCTGATGGTATTTTTCTGTTCTTCATAAGGGACTCTAAAAAGTTGTAGTCTCTTGGACCCTCAGGGATTAGAACATATTTAATGTCCTTCCATAAAAAGGCCACAAAAAAAACTATTAGAGGTTCATCCAAAGCAGCTCAAACGAACAAGTGATAGTTAAGACAACCTTGTCAGTAGGAATCTGTTTGAAACCTCTGTTTTTGTGTAACATGAGGGACTGGATTAAGGAATGTGCTGTGTGCACATAAACAGATGTCCTTTTCCCAACATCCTCCTCATGTCCTGCAATAATGGCTGCATTCACTCTATCAGAAACAAACAAGTGAATAAGTGGTTTTATTAAATCAGTACATAAAAAAAAAGGTCAATATCAATATAGTAAATCAGTCGACATATAAGCTTTCACAAGATATCCTGGTTTACACATTTTCTCTTTTAAAAGTGACTGATTTAATCTGCATTTAAACAATGTTTGTTCTTGATAACTTCTAAGATTTACCTGAACACATAATCATTAGAGTCAATCTCCATTCCTAGCCTGGAGCCATTGAGAATGCCACCATTCCCAACAACAGCACAGTGAATACAGCCATCGTTCGCTCTTGTGGGTACTTGTAGTAACTGGGTAGATGCAAGCTTAGGGATGGTGTCAACAGCTGCTTTTATGGCTATAAAAAGGAGGAAATACAGCATTATTTTAGCTTAATGCTATAATAGTAAACCATATGATCACGTTCATGCTTTATGATTAAACAAACCTGTGTAATTGAGTCCCATATAGCCAAAGGGGTTGTTAAAGTGATAAAGCCGGTTCCACTCACTCACGTTGAGATGATCGCTTTGTAAAAACAGCTGAATGTTTGGAATAAACTTCTCCATAAACACTGGATTAGAGGAATTTCGCAAGGATGCCGTGCATTCCTGAAAAACATGTTGGAAACCGTGTAAAGCCTGTAAATGGAATAGTTTATTGTACCTTTAGACAATTTTTTTTTCTTCAAGTTTTGTATACAATACCTGTCAAAAGCGACACAACTGTTTTCAACATTGATAATAATATTAATAATAAAAATGTTACCCGAGCGCCAAATCAGCATATTAGAATGATTTCTGGAGGATCATGTGACACTAAAGACTGCAGTAAAAAATTTTGGCTGAAAATTCAGATTTGATAACAGGAATGAATTACATTTTAAAATATATTCAAATAGAAAACGGTTATTTTAATTTCACAATATTACTGTTTTTACTATATTTTTATTAAATAAATGCAGCCTTGATGAGCATAAGAGACTCGTTTTAAAAACATTACAAATGTGAATGTTTCCAAACTCGACAAGTATTGTATGTGTTTTATATCATATTTGATATATCAGTCTTTTATGGCTCATATAGTACAATATAGAAGAATACAGATTACACTCCAGGAGAAAAAACACAGGCCCAAACTGAGCAAACATCTGCAATTTGGTGCAGTATATGGCCAAAAAGATGAATTTCTGATTGTGATGCAAATCAGTGTCAGACTGCGATAGATAAAATGCATAAAAAGGTTTACTTGATTTATCCATACTTCATTTTTTAGAAACAAATGTATGAATAAATCAAGTAAACCGTACGTTGCTTCAGTCCAGTAAATTTTTGTCTTCAAATATTACTAATAATAGTCATCGTTATGTCTTCTTTGTTTAAAAAAAAATAAAAGATTTCACAGAAAATAGACCACAACCTGAAGGTGGACATTTTAAAAATTTCACTAAAAGGACTTTTATTTGCTATTACAAAATTAAAAAAGGTATGAACTATCTGGTCAGAAGGCCTTTAAAAGATTGTGTAAAACAGGTTTTCCAGTAAGTTTTGTAATCATAATTGAAAAGCCTTAGAAATGAATGCATTAAATATGATAGGCTTTGGGTTAAACATGTTTCACACGTAGGCTGCCTACGACAAAAAAAATATGTATTGTGATCACTCAGTGCTAGTTCAAAATGAATCAACAAAGAAATGGCCGAGAGAGTGAAAAGAAGTTGTGAAAGCCAGTTAACGGATCCGTCTAGACCAGCAAACCATTATTAGGCTGGTTTAAGAGCTGTTTCTTTTTCAGTAGGGTTATATCATCATGTCACCCATTAGCAGGATGTTCACAAACTTGTCTCTAAGTTATAGTTGTTGTCCACTGTACTTACACTCGGTTTAAACTGTGGATCCAATCGATACAGATCCTCACATTTCCACTGGGGCAGAGCAGTAAAGTTGTGCTTGTCCATAAAGGGCACAAGGGTTGATTGAGTCCCAAGAGGAACATTTGCTCCTGCGTCAGTCACAACAGAACTGGTTGCCTCGGGCTCCTCATCTCTCTGCAAAGAATCTGTGACATTGTCTTTATCCACCCAAAAGTTGTAATACTGTCTAAGGAGAAGGGATTGCAGCTCTAGTTATAGCCTGTGACTTTACATGATAGTATGACTGTAGGCCTACTAATAAAAGTAAAATGTTGAATTTAAAAATGACACATTTGAATTAAGTAGCCTACATTTTCGTTTCTTACCGCACATTTGCTTTTATAGTGTAGTTTTCATTGTAAAAGGTTACAACTATAAACAGGAGTATTAAAGTTATAAGGGAAGTGACAAAGAATATCCTTTGGAGAAACATCCTCAGTGAAAGCTTGCAAGCGCACCTGTAGCCTAAACTGATTAAGCCGATTACCGACGACTCAAGTGAGCTGCCTAACGTTACCTAGAAATTTTTTTTGAACATCATTTGCGTAAACGGTCAACACTAATATGGACGCGCTGTCACGCGCACGCGCTCGAAATTTTAATGTTTTAAGCTGCCGCGCCATTTAAACACTGCCTATTCTCACAGATTTATTTTAGCATTTTTAAATAGACGATAGACGTTAGAACCAATTGGGTTTGTGGGCAATTTCTTCTCCTTCTTTTCCTGTGCTATATGTCGTTGAAGATGATCCTCACTGCAGAACACGAGATCCAGGGGGCGAGGTTGAATCCAGATCCAACTCCTCCCACTTACTCTGCTCCACCAGATGAAGCGGCATAGCCTATTTCAGAAGTTGCAGCCCGCAATTTTAAGAGTAAGTTGCAAAATTTGAGTGTGTGCATGTAGTGCAGTGTGAAAGAATGAATTAGTGATTTATTGTTTAATTCTGTGTGTAAATTATAATTCTTAATGTCATGTGGTTTCGCTCTAGTGTTATTCTGTTAACTTTTATTCAGTGTGATTAGCCTACAATGTGCTCCTAATGTGGGTTTCCTTATGTTTCGCGTTCAAAGTTTCCCTACCGTATTCAGTGTCTGTTTTACCGTGTGTAAATAAACGCTTTTTTTTTTCAATTTCATTGTGCTGGTAATGCATTTTGCATGCATTTATGTTAGTGACAGAGATGCTCTTATTATGTTATGTAAATTAAGTCAGATGCCTTTGTCTTATTTTCTTTTTTCTTAAAATTGTGTTAGGCTTGAAATGTGTGTTCTCCTCCTGTCTTTACATTCTTGTATTACTCTAACCCTCTACCGCACGCATTATAATAAACCTATAGAAAAAAATATTTGACTCTTTTTATTTTCTTAGAATGGCTTAACTTGAAGTGCTGTAAAAAGAAAATTAAAAAAAAAAAATGTTTTAAGGTCCTTTATGATATGTTGCCATAAAGTCCGGTGGCGTAGTGAAAATACTGTTACCGAGATGATAAAAGCACCAAATTTTGCATGGTGTTTCCTTAGGGTCTATAGTGTCATTTTGGCCTAGGAGCCCTCAGTTTTTTGTTTTTTGTTACATGTCATATTAGAAGTATATCAATATCAATGAAATATGCTTAAAAGCACAGCGATTTTCAAGTTCCTGCACAAGATAAAGTATTCAAATGAATCCCAAAGTTAACATTTTATGTTTATTTATGTTTATGAACTTTTACATAACAAAAGCTTCAATACATGTTAAAGTATTATCAATATGGTCTTTATTGGCCTTGTAATTGATAATTATGAATCGTTACAGTTGCATTTGCAAAGAGGTGAGCAGTCTAGACTTGCTTTGCCACATTTGCAGGTGGAACAATCCCCCTTACAGCAACATTTGATAAGTTCTCTGCAGGCTGTGGGACTTCTGGAAGTGTCATCCAAATTGGTTCCCAAGACCCTGATTCCTTGGTCCATCCATAGTCCCTTGGAGAAGGAATACCTTGCTGTGAGAGTGTGCTGGTCGCCCAGATTCCAGTCTGATAAACTGCCCGTCTGATGTGCTGCAGTAGAGTATCTTGGGTGGGTGGCAGTTTCTCCATTGTCCTACTCCCATGGCAGAAGAGTTCTTTCCTCTTCTGGACAATGGAGCTTGAAGAACTGGACTTGTCATACAAGATGACAGTCAGTCTCTCAAGCTTTTGGAACTGCCATGAAGCAGCATCTAATTTTTGGAATGGATTTCTGGCAAGGGAAGCAAACACTTCAGTGGCTTCATCATAGGCTTGCCAGGCCCGCCAAACTGACTTCTTACCCTTCCCAGTGAAAGCAGATGTTGTATCACACCCTGAATAGGCATGGAACATCAACAGTGCTTGAGACTTGTCCTTACCCAGACTTTTACATATGCTATTGACATGGTAAAATCTGTACTTTTTGCCCATGCCAAAAGCCACCCAGATGTCAGTCAAAGGTTGAATCACCAGTAAATCATGGAATAAACCTGCAAGAATCACAATGACATCAGTGTCCACAGTACGCACATGGACAGTTTTTGCTCCTTGCTCCAGGGCATGCTGTATATGAACCACAATCCGGGTGTCTGCCTCTTCATGATTGCAACTGCTCATGGTACTGCTGGAACCAAATGAAGATACAGCTAGCCCTGATGTGATATACAGAGATTTGTCTGGGGGCCAGTTGAACTCTTCAGTCTTAGATGTCAGAAAGGCAAAAAGCTCTTTCTTATTAATTGGATCACGTAGGAAATCCATCCAAATGCCTGGCAGCTTTGTTTGGCCAGACACTTTCCTGCGTACACCTTGACCCCTCTTTTGACGCGTGGACTCCTTCAAACTGTCCGAGATGTATGCATCCCATACAATATCCAACCTTTGTGTATCCTGTAGCTGCCTCTGCAGGTAAGGGATGAAAACATTACTTGCATATTCTTTAAATGTGTTCACTGTATTAGTAGACAGACTGTGGACAATGACCGCTCCATCCAAGATTTTGCAGTCAAAGCATGAGAGTGGCTGTGATTGCCCAGGGAGCTCAAGGCATTGAAGTAAGTCAGACTTTGTGCCTGGCAGGTGAATCTTTCCAAAGTCAGTGAGGGAAGGAGGGAAGGACTGTACTTCATGTGCAAAGAATTCATCCAAATCACTCTCACGACTTTGCATTGCAATATACAGCTGACCAAATAGTGTCACGTTGTTCTGGAGCATTTTAATCTTCTTCCCATGTGTAGATAATGTCTTGCGTCGAGTTTGCTTGAAGAGTTGCAACGAATTCCTTTTGATTGGATCATGGATGGATTGCCTGCGATCAGTAAGCACCTTTGTGACAAACTGTTGATATTGTTTCTTGCCTGTGTCTTCTAAGATGAACACTGATTTAGCCACAGATTCATCTGCACAGTTACGGCTGTCAAGAGTGACAAGATCTTTAAAATCATCCAAGAAAGGGTTGCCCATTCTTTTAATAGTTTCAGACAGGTTGGCTACATGTCTTTGAAATGTCTTCTGTGTGGAAAGACACTGTTCATGATGCTGGAAGTTCTTAGGATTATCTATGTCATTTTCAGGAAGAAAGTCCTCTTCAAATTCTTTCAGCAATCTTCCCAACTCTGGTCCAGAGATCATCCATTGTCTGAAAGCATTTGGGTTTTCTGTGAGACCAACTGCACCACCGCAACCTTTCACAATCTTATTCTCTTGTTCATGAGCTTGGTCGAAAGGTATTGCAGAGAACTTGTTGTATGTCTTTGAGAGAACCCAGTGTGAATGCTTTTCAAACTCATCCTTGATGGTACTGGGCAAAGACTTCATGTCCCTGATGTGGACAGACACCCATCTTGCATAGTTTGTATGGTCCAAGGCAAAAAATAGAGGGATGAGTTCTTCTAAAACTTCTACATATAGAAGGAAGTTCTTCTCTCTGTGAGCTCTGACAAAAAATAGAATGAGGGTTTCATATCTTAGTATTAGATCCCAATAAATGAAAGTTGGACTCTTCTTCAGCATGTCATTTCTCCAAGTGATAAAGGTATCTTCATCTTTGGGGCCAGCAATAAGCCTAAAAGCTTCCTGCTGCAGATTGTGAAGTGACAGTAGAGTGACTTGGTGGGCATGCCTGGTGCGAGTTAGGTGTGCTGCTTTCAGAAATGAGTCAGCCTTTCCAGAAGATGCTACTATTGCTTCAGTGAGTGCTGTTGTCCAACCAGAGCAATCTAAGAGGTCGCCAAGTGTATTCCAGAGGGCCATTTCTGTGTGTAATCCACCTAGCATAACTACATGAACTCTTTCACCATGTGTGTCTGGCCATTTCCATTGCACTAACTTTGCCAGAGCGAAAAGAGGCTGGTCAAATGTAGTAACTGGGATTTGTCCAGGATTAAGAAATTCAATAGCTTGTCTAAGAACATTCATGCCATGTTTAATCATGGCTGGAGTGGCAGACTTATCATAAAGCAGAGGAAGGAGTGCACATTTTGCTGGGGGGTCTTCCACCAATGGTTGCATAGAAGCATGATATGCATACCATGCAACTGCATCATCACTGTCTAGTTCTCTCTTCTCTAGAAGTGGCAGTGCATGATTGACCCATCTGTTTTCCTCTTCTCTAGCATTATCCAATAAACCCATAGCTGTAACTACATTACATTATGGCACTGAAACAGAAGTATTTTTCAGAGCTACAGCGGGGACAGTGGCAAAAGTGTCAGGAAGAGCTTTATTTTTATTTTCAAAAGGTGGTATCATAATGGGTGGTCTCTGTACACCACAGTCATCCTTAGTTGGAAACTGAAACATGCGGATTCCAGTACCATGAAAGGAGCCTACAGAAGTGGTTAAACTTGGGTCATAGTCAAGGTTATCAAGGGCACCAACTGTGAAGAGCCCTTTCCGGAGACAAGCTGGAACCACAACACCATCAACTTCAAAGCGTTCACATGTGGCTTTAGCAAGCCAGTCTTCAATTTGAATAACTCTGTCATATGAAATGCTAATACCTATTTGGTTTAATTGCTGGACCAGTTGCTTGCTTCTGGTTTGTACATGTACATTAAGGCCTATGTAAATAGGGAGTGGTGGTTCACGTTCAAGGCTGTGTCTGGTCATCCTAGCAGTGGGTGTTGCCCTTTTCTTTGTGTTATAAAGAATGCCTTGTCCCGTTGTGAGACAAGCCTGAGACTCACATTTCTCTTGATCTTTCAAGTTGGAGCCATTCATTATCATCGAGATAAGAGACTTTAAGCTTGAAGGAAGTGAGGTTTCTTGACATCTTTCTGGGAAGGAGCCAGTGAATTTGAATCTTCGCAGTAATAATCTTCATAATCAATAATCTTCGCAGCTTTTGCCAGGATGAGAGCATCTTCATCAAAATCTCTCTTCCTCAGAGCTTCCCTTAGCATATTTCTCATGCTCTCCTTGAAAATAAGAACTGTATTCCTTCCATCAAATTGTTCTTGTGCATCTGGAAAGCATTGAAGCAAATGATTTTTCAATCTGGTTTTGTTGACTTGCTTACTGACACCCAGTTCCTGAAGTCGATTTACATACAAAGAGTGGAGCTCAGATAGCATAAAGAGAAGGACTCCAGAATCAACACATTTTTCAATGTAGTCCTGAAGTTCAACGAAAGCGCGAGACTCATTCATATTTTCATCTATGTTTTCTGGACATTTGTAGCTCTTACTAAGGTGTCTTGGCACTCTGTTTTACACTTATAATTTGGAAGATCTACTGGCCTGAGCACAAATTAACAAAAGGAAGCTTATTCAGAGGTCTTAAAAGGCCATTATCCTGAAAGTTTTACTTGAGATAAAAAAATAAATAAAAAAAATACGTTTTTCATG